AGAATTCCTTGTTTGTTCCTAGTCTCCATCAGACACATTTTACAATAGATTTAGGTCACAAAAGAGAGGGACATCAAAGTTAAGCACGCATCTCTCTTCCATGTGGAAGGAAAGCTTTTGTTATGCAAAAGAAAGCTTCTTTTCCCTATTAGAGTACATCTGGAATATCATAATGACATCACTTAAACAGAGTCATCTGTTACCCTCACTGCTGTATGTCATCATTAGCTCGTGTGATATAAACGGCAGCAGGGGTGATGAGAGAGGCCTGTCAAACAAATCATCTGTCCCCAGTGGAAAGAAAGTGCCTAATCAGACCTTCATGTGTATATTATCAATGAGGGTTAAATGACTGGACTGTCAAGTTCCTGCCACTTTCCCCCTGAGAACAGCTGCAGCAAGATTATCAGCATACCAGACGAGTGTGGCTTTCTCTCCCTGCCATAGCCACTCAAGTATTACCTAGCAGCAGGAAGGTTTGGATTCCCAGTTGACTTTCTCTTCTATTGGCACAACCTCTGTCCTGTTCCTACCCTTTCTTCCACTTTGGTTTCTTGTCTAGATAAACCTCCAGTAAAAATCTGTTTTTGCATGGAGAAACTATCCATAACCCCCAGAAATTACTCTGATTGCTTTATTAATCTAGAAATCTTGGTGGGTTTCCTTAGCTAAGATATGGGTCCATTCAATCCCGCAAAAAAGCTCAGCTGTCTTAGGGATAATCTTAACTATACCGAGGAATGTTTTTAAATTCTCCTTCAAAGTGTTATAGAAGAAATCACAGTTTCTCACAGGCACAACTTATCACATGTTGTTAGATGAAATTATGAAATGTAAACACTTCTGCAAACAGTAGGCTGTGGCATGATGTTAATACAGCTAAGCATCCATTTTGTTCAAGGCCAAAGAGTTTAATTATAAGTCTTGCTTCTTTAATGGTGTCATGCCTCAGCCCTGAGGTTGACAAGTTTTATTACAGACTTTTTGTTTTTGTTGTGATTCAGGTTTGCTGTTGATGGTGGTGATGGTTAACAAGCTTTTAATGTCTGCTGTAACCACAATAGCCAAGTTTGCGAGCCTCAGAAATACTCATATTTTTATGTGTACCAGTGTTATGTGGACCAATTTCAAATGTAAGTATTTTTCTTAACATTGAAATAATAAAGATTTAACTTCTGAGCGATGGAGACATACCCTTATCTTAATAGTCTTCATGATATTTTTCCTTAAAATGAGCTCTTGTTATACCTGAGAAGGTGCTCTGAACATAGGAGAGAGATACAATACTCCAGCTAGAATTCTTCTCTGGCCTTACAGCCCCTTTACAAATGGCCCTTGTCCATTCTTCACCTTTGTAAATTTAAGAAAATCACTAGGTTGTTAAGTAGAGAAACCTACGAGTCCTAGCCTATTTTTAAGCCATATTCAGAATTACAGAAGGGAAAGGTCAGCCAGGTCATGGGAGTATTGCGGTGATGGGGCAACTGGCCCCTTTCTAAGGAACACATCAGATCTTTGTCTTTGGAAGGGAAGTTTCCCGTGATAGAGAGGCCTGTTCTCTGTGACAGGGTGGGGGTAAGGGTGAGTCCAGGTGGAGGTGGAAATACAGGGTTCCTATGTCAGGAGGGGATGAGAGGCTCAAAGAACCTCATTTGGCAAAGATGTAAGTTTTCATAGCGAGTGCCAGGGAAAGGGTTAGCAGTCAGCTCTTGGGACAAGCTACGGTGGAGACAACTGCGAGCCTCCTATAGGTGGCAGCAATATCAAGGAAAATGTGATGGCCTATGAGACCTTTTTTTTTCCATTTTTTATTTTTTTAATATTAGTTACAGTTTGTTAACTTTGTATCCCTGCTATATCCCGTTCCCTCTTTCTCTCCCCACCCCACTCTCCATCCCTCCCTCCCTCATCTCCTCCCTGCCCCTTTCCAAGTCCACTGATTGGGGAGGACCTCCTTCCCTTTCATCTGACCCTAGCTTATCAGGTATCTTCAGGACTGGCTGCAAAGTCCTCCTCTGAGGCCTAGCAGGGCTGCTCCTCCCTTGGGGATGGGGGGAGGTCAAAGAGCCAGCCATTGAGTTCATGTCAGAAACAGTCCCTGTTCCCCTTATTAGGGTATCCACTTGGATACTGAGCTACCAAGGGCTACATCTGAGCAGAGGTTCTGGGTTATATCCATACATGGTCCTTGTTTGGAGAAACAGTCTCATAAAAGACCCCTGTGCCCAGATATATTTGGTCCTTGTGGAGCTCCTGTCCTCTCCATGTCACATTAACTCTCTCCCCCTTTTTGTTATGATTCCCTGCCCTCTGCCAAAGGTTTGGTTATGAGTCTTAATATCTGCTTTGATACACCGCTAGGTAGAGATTTTAAGAGGCCCTCTGTGGTAGGCTGCTGTCCTGTTATTTGTTTTCTCCTACATCCAATGTCCATCCCATTTGTCTTTCTAAGTGAGGATTGATTGATCATTGTACCCTAGGTCATCTTCCTTGTTTATCTTTTTTAGGTGTATAGATTTCAATATGTTTATCCTATCTTATAGGTCTAAATAAGTGAGTATACACCATGTGTGTCTTTCTGCTTTTGGGATACCTCACTCAGGATGATCTTTTCTAGGTCCCACCATTTGCCTGCAAATTTCATGATTTCCTGGTTTTTAATTGCTGAATAGTATTCCATTGTGTAAAAGTACCACAATTTCTGTATCCATTCCTCAACTGAGGAACATCTGGGTTGTTTCCAGATTCTGGCTATTACGAATAAAGGTTCTATTAACATGGTTGAGCAAATGTCCTTGTTGTGTACTTGAGTATCATTTGGATATATGCCTAGGAGTGGTATAGCTGGATCCTGAGCAAGCACTATTCCTAATTGTCTGAGAAAGCACCAGATTGATTTCCAAAGTGGTTGTACAAGTTTGCATTCCCACCAGCAATGGAGGAGGGTTCCCTTTCACCACAACCTCTCCAGCATGTGTTGTCACTTTAGTTTTTGATTTTAGCCATTCTGATGGGTGTAAGGTGAAATCTCAGGGTCGTTTTGATTTGTACCTCTCTGATGGCTAAGGACGTTGAGCATTTCTTAAAGTGTTTCTCTGCCATTCTGTATTCCTCTACTGAGAATTCTCTGTTTAGCTCCATACCCCATTTTTTTAAATTGGATTGCTTGATTTGCTGCTCTTTAACTTCTTTAGTTCTTTATATATTCTGGTTATCAGCCTTCTGTCAGATATATGGTTGGTGAATATCCTTTCCCAGTCTGTAGGCTGTTGTTTTGTTTTGATGACGGTGTCCTTTGCTTTTCAGAAGCTTTTCAGTTTCATGAGGTCCCATTTATTGATTGTTGCTCTTAGAGCCTGTGCTGTTGGTGTTTTTTTCAGGAAGTTGTCTCCTGTGCCAATGAGTTCCAATGTCTTACCCACTTTTTCTTCTAACTGATTTAGAGTATCTCGTTTTATGTTGAGATCTTTTATCCACTTGGACTTTAGTTTTGTATCGGGTGATAAGTATGGATCTATTTTCATTTTTCTGCTGGTAGACATCCAGTTGGACAAGCACCATTTGTTAAAGATGCTGTCTTTTTCCACGGAATGGTTTTGGATTCTTTGTCAAAAATAAAGCATCCATTGGTGTGTGGGTTTATTTTTGGGTCTTCTATTCAGTTCCATTGATACACTATTCTGATTCTATGCCAATACCATGCAGTTTTTATTACTATTGCTTTGTTGTACAGCTTGAGATCAGGGATGAAGATGCCTTCAGATGATCTGTTGTTGTATAAGATCATTTTGGAAATTCTGGGGTTTTTTCTTGTATCTCTAAAATGCATGATTGGAACCAGTAAAATATAGCAAACGGAGGAAGTCCTCTGCTTTGTAATTGCCCCCAGAGGCTCCTAGTTGTTTAGGAGGATGGCTCTGTCAGTACATGCTTCTTAGCCAATTAAGAAGGTCTGGACAGCTCCAAGAATACACAAGGTTAGGCTATTAGATGATTAGGCCTTTTGCATGTCTAGGCTATTACATGCTTCTATCATATAGACTGTTCTGAGCCTATAAGGCCATACTGTGAAGCGATTGAGTGGCTAAGTAGTGGTATACAGTAGGTTGGTCTGTCCTCTATGTCAGCTGCTATGCAGTTACGATGCTGAATGTCTAGGCTCTGACATGTGTAGGCTACTGCACGGCACATGAACACAGACCTACAGTGTCTCATTTAAGTTCCCCATGGTCATATGCATACAACAAAATCTTCCTCTCAATATGATATACAACAGCCTTTCATCCCATATGAACCTGACCTCTAAGGAGCGCTTCTTTAATATCTTATCACAAAACTCCTCCTTTCCAATTTACCTGAAAGCCCTGAACAAAACTGCTATGTGCTATGCAGGTGCCAACTTTAACATCTGAACGAGTTTTTTGTTGTTGTCGTTCTTGTCTTTGCTACAAACTACTGTCTAACTTCTGATCATCTCTGTAAATGTACCACCCCTATTTTGTCTTTAAACATCCCACCATGCCAAAAATCCAGCTTCATTTGCTGCAGTTAACTTTTTCCCAGTGAGACTGCAAAAACCATGCCTTTGCATGAATAAGCTTTGGGGGAGATGGTTTAGTCTTGGGGTCCCACCCCTACATGGACTTTACTATGTCATTGTGTGCTGCTGGATAACATCTCCAGACATGTTATACATCTTGAAGCTGGTGATCCCAAGGAGTGCCCTGCAGGGAAGCAAGAGAACACAGATCACTGCTTTCCCACACAGTTCCACATCTGCGAGCTCTGCTCTCTCTTGATCTTCCCCCGTCTCTGTCTCTCTCTCCGTGTATGTGTGTGTGTGTGTGTGCATGTGCTGGAGTGTGTGCAGAAGTGTTCACTAAAGCAAACCTGGAATTCTTCAGTGGAGAGAAAGCCTAGAGTTGGACACTGATGATCAGGGTGTGTGCAAAGCTTTGGGTTTAGTTAGCACCACATGAAAATCAAATATGGTGACTCACATTTGTAATTCCAGTACTTGGGAGGAATTGCCATGAGAATCGTATAAGTTCAAGGTCGTCTTTCCTTGGCTACTTAGTGAAGTCAATCCATCTTGGAGTACATTATATCCTATTTCCAAACAAAAACAAAAACTAACAAAAAAAATCAACAAGAGCAAAGACAACCTAGGGTTGACTAGAACTCTCTCTGTGGTCAGAAGATTGTTACTTTATAACATAACACTCCATTCTTAGTTTCTACACCAAACCTGAGTCCATGACTATACATATTCACCATTGCCTTATGAAGTGGATGAATGAGGGGACATGTCCTGCACAGGGTCTGCCTCCTGAGCCCCGGTTTCTATTTTCTTTATGTAGACTTCATATCTGTACAAATGGAAAGAGTGGCACAAGAGTTTGGGTTCTACTGTTATTGCGTTTGGGTCCCATGTGTTCACTTGGGCATCCCCTCTCCTTGAGTGAGCCTAAGCTGACGCATCCCTGGTTAGACAAACACTAACGCTTGACTACGGCATATAAACACCCAATAAATCCTCCCTAAATAAGATCCTGTCTCTGCTGCTTCAGTCATGAATGTAAGCCTGTCTTAGAAGGGCTGATAAGTATCTCCTAATAGCTTATTTTAGTTCATTCTGGTATAATTCAATAAATATTTATTAAGCTGAAGGTAAGGGTGAATGCAAGTCACATGGCGCTTTGCCCTTGGAGACCTGACTTTGCAGCAAAAGCAGGAACAGGAAGGATTCTACAGAGTCAAAGCCCCAAATCTCTCTAGCTCAGAAAATGAGGCCCCTTGCAAGAACCAAAGAAGGGTTTTAGGCAAAGGCTCCATGTGACATTTGCTTCTCTTTTTCTAAAAGAGGGTTTGTTTGTAAAGATCTGGATGAAAAGTAAAAATGGAAGAAAAACTAAATGTCTTGGTGCAATCTCCATGAGCAAATATCAAATACGACCTGGGAAGGTGTCAGAAGTTAGAATAGCAAACACACAGAATGGGCATTAATGTAACAATGTAAAACACATCATAGAACTCCATAGACTAAATGCCTCTGAAGGGACCAAAGAAATTTAAATGGGACAACTCACTCAGGATGATCCTTTCCAGGTCCCACCATTTACCTGCAAATTTCATGATTTCCTTATTTTTCATTGCTGAGTAATACTCCATTGTATAGATGTACCACAGTTTCTGCATCCATTCTTCAGTTGAGGGGCATCTGGGTTGTTTCCAGCTTCTGGCTATTACAAATAAAGCTGCTACAAACATGGTTGAACAAATGTCCTTTTTGTGTACTTGCGCCTCTTTTGCCTAGGAGTGGTATGGCTGGATCTTGAGGAAGCGCTATTCCTAGTTGTCTGAGAAAGCACCAGATTGATTTCCAGAGTGGTTGTACCAGTTTACATTCCCACCAGCAGTGGAGAAGGGTTCCCCTTTCTCCACAACCTCTCCAGCATGTGTTGTCCCTTGAGATTTTCATCTTGGCCATTCTGATGGGTGTAAGGTGAAATCTCAGGGTTGTTTTGATTTGCATTTCTCTAATGGCTAATGAGGTTGCTCACTCATATAAACATACAATATAGAATAAACCCACTAAAAGCTGTACATCTAAACAAACTAAGCAAAAGAGAGGACCCTAACTAAAATGTTCAATCCCCATCCTGAAAGGCAAAGAGGATGGACATCAGAAGAAAACAAAAATAGGAAACAACCTCGGAACCCGCTACAGAGGGCCTCTGAAAGCCAGAAGAAAACAGAAAACAACCTTGAAACCTGCCACAGAGGGCCTCTGAAAGCTTCTGCAGTATAGACTGTCAAAGCAGATGCTGAGCCTGATGGCCAACTGATGGGCAGAGTGAATGGAATTTTATGTAAGAAGTGGGAAATAGTAAGAGCTGGAGGGAACGGGAACTCCACAAGCAGAGCAACAGAACAAGATAATTTGAACACAGGGAACTTCCCAGAGACTCATACTCCAACCAAGGACTATTTGTGGAGATGACCTGGAACCCCTGCACAGGTGTAGCCCATGGCAGTTCAGTGTCCAAGTGGTTTACATAGTAATGGGAAGAGGGACTGCCTCTGACATAATCTGATTGGCCTGCTCGTTGGTCACTTCCCCCTGAGGGGGGAGCAGCCTTACCAGGCCACAGTAGAGGACAATGCAGCCACTTTTGATGAGAATTGATAGACTAAGATTAGAAAGAAGAGGAGAACCTCCCCTATCAGTGGACTTGGGGAGTGGCATGCATGCAGAAAGGGGAGGGAAGGTGGGATCGGCAGGGGAGGAGGGAGGGGCTTATGGGGGGATACAAAATGAATAAAGTGTAATTAATAAAAAAAATAATAATAAAAGGAAAAAAAAATTTAAATGGGTAAGTGGGAGGGATAGCATATGCACCATGCAGAAACATTTAAAGATCTGAAGTAGAAAAAGACTGCTGTCATTAAATCTGGGTACATGAACTCCATAATTAGTGTCTGTTTCCTCACATATGAAATAGCTGATAATTTTAAATAATAACAACAATCATAAAAGTTGTAAAAATAAGACATCATTAATTGCAATCATAGTCATATATCTATTTCCAAAGCACTTTAGGTAGCAATTCCTGGTAAGAAAGTAACACAAAATATAAAATATTTATTTTATACTAGGTTCCAGATTTAGTAAAAATTTTAATGAGACAATGTTATCAGTGAAGAAGAGAAAAACTGTATAATATACTGGCTTATAAAAGTAAAGAAAGGACAGGGAGATGACTCGGTGGTTAAAGGTGATTGCCACTGAGACTTCTGACCTGAATTTGAACACTTGGACCAACAAGGCAGAAAGAGCTAACTGAATCCCCCAAACTGTCCTCTGATGTCCATGCACACAAGAGCCCCAAATTACATGAAAAAATGTAGTACATTTTTAGGTAAATGAAGAGCACAGGGATTACACTGGAATAAGCATCAGGACCACAGCTCTCAAATCCACATGAAGTTCATGAACTTGGGTGAGTTTCTGTGCATAAGCTCCGTTTTCACATATAAAATGAAAAAAAAAATCCCAGTACTATAAGGTTACAGTTCTTTTCCTTTCCTGTTCTCTTTTTGTATTTTCCAATTATAATTATTTATAATTATGAGGCAATAATGATATTTCAGTCCACTGTGCATACACTCAAAAGATGTTTCACTATATGACAAGGATATTTGCTCAACTATGTTCATAGCAGGTTTATTCATAACAGCCAGAATCTAGAAACAACCTAGATGTCCCTCGGTGGAGGAATGGATACAGAAAGTATGGTATATTTACACAATGGAATACTACTCAGCAATTAAAAAGAACAAAATCATGAAATTTGCAGGCAAATGGTGGGAACTAGAAAAGATCATCCTAAGTGAGGTAACCCAGAAACAGAAAGACACACATGGTATAAACTCACTTCTAAGTAGATATTAGCCATATAATATATAGGATAATCATACTACAATCTATAGTCCTAAAGAAGCTAAACAACAAGGAGGACCCTAGGGAAGAGGCTGAAACCTCACTCAGAAGGGCAAACAGGATAGACATCAGAAGTAGGAGAAGACAAGGAACAGGGCAGAAGCCTTCCACAGGGGGCCTGTGAAAGACTCTACCCATCAGGGTATAAAGGGAGATACTGAGACTCATAGCCAAACTTTTGGCAGACTGCAGGAAACCTTATGGAAGAAGAGGGAGATAGAAAGACCTGGAGGGGCCAGGAGCTCCACAAGGAGAACAACAGAGCAAGCAAACAAACAAACAAACAAACATACAACAACAACAACAAAAAACCTGGGCAAAGGGGGTCCTGCAGAGACAAATGCTCCAACCAAGGACCATTTATGGAGAGGAACTAGAGCCCCTGCTTAGAGGAAGCCCATCACCTGCTCAGTTTCTAAATGGGTTCCCTAGTAAGGGGAGCAGGGGCTGTCTGAACTCAGTGGCTGGCTTGTTGATCACCTCCCCCTGAGGGGTGCAGCCTTATCAGGCTACTGAGGTAAATGATGCAGCCAGCCCTGATGAGACCTGATAGGCTAGAGTCAGATAGAAGGGGAGGAGGTCTTCCCCTATAAGTGGACTAGGGAAGGGGCATGGGGGAGAAGAGGGAGGGTAGGCAGGACTGGGAGGTAAGGAGGGAGGGAGCTACAGCTGCAATACAAAGTGAATAAATTGTAATAAATAAATGTGAAAAAAGACTTTAACAGGATAAACAAGACTGTAAACCCTTATCAGGCCAAAGTTAGAAAGAAAGAAAGAAAGAAAGAAAGAAAGAAAGAAAGAAAGAAAGA